AACTTAATGGTGGCTGTGGTCTGGTGACAGGCTTCTGAGGAGGTGTGATCCTCTGCCTTTGAATCACACACAGTGTTGTAAACTAAAGAAACCTCAATTTTAAAAAATGTTAAACAAGAAAAATATTGCTGTGAATTTTGAAGGAATTTGTTTCACAGGATGACTACCAGCCTGAAAATGTTCTTTGTGCAACTTGCACACTCCCCACCTTCACAGAGGGAAACACCATCTCTACATTTATGCCACTGTGAATAACATGATGAGCATGATGTAGGGAGATGCTATTCATTGCTATCTTCATTGTTTTGGCCACTAACTGGACTTTATTTAAAAATAAATGTTGGTCATTCTGAAAAATGTCCTTATTATAGACCCTTTTCTCCATTTTCACTTCTCACCATTGCTAAGAGTCCTCTTACTTGGTTGTCGGTTCTTATGGACTCACTTTTTGATCTTCATTTTTAAGATCAGTTAACCCCCACCTCTTTTAGATTTTGCTGCACTTTTGAAAAAAAATGGCTTCAACTTTACTTGTTAGTTCTATTTAGTTTTAATGTGAGTTAATCTATATTCAATTTCCAAGAAGTCTTTCTTATTATTTCATTAAAATGCTTTATTGTTCTTTCATTTATAAAATTACATTGTGACTATAAAGTTTCAATTTATTTTATACTCTCAGTGTCATTTCTGTTTTCACTAATTTTACTTGTTTTGATTTGTTTGTTTGTTTATCTAGATACAGTCTTTCACCTCAGAGGCTTTTCTCAAATATCTATTCATCTTTGGTTGAAAGATGATTACACACTGTGTGTGTATGAGCAGGCTTATTTACTGATAGAATTCACTATGTGGTAATTGCATGATGAGTTTTAAAGCAGAGGGTCCTCCACATTTCAGAAGCTAGACATCTTATTTCGAGAACTACTGCATATCTCTAGAAAATGATTCTTCAGAATCTTACCTGGAGCTCCTAATTAAGTGCTTACAAAGCTGGAGGGAGGGTGATGGAGGTCTTGACATTGTCTGTACAGATTGCCACTGCTTGACTCTATTTTTAGTCTTGTATCTTTTCCCACCCCATTTTTCGAGACAGGAATGCCTCCTACCCCTGAATCAGGAGACTCTCACCATCAACTGTTCCAGAAAATAACCCTAGGTTTCCTACTTGGGAGAATGGCAGCCATATGCAAAGAGTCAGAGGGAGAGAATTAAAGCCAAGCTAATACACTCAGGAGAAAAATGTTAATTATGTATCTTATTTCAAATAAACAAAAATTACTATTTTAAATAATTAACTGTGCTGGTCATTATATTTTGCATTTCTTTTGTGCTTATTTTTAAAATAGATTTAAATGGTTTTAATTTTTCTGCTGTATTATTACAATTGTTTTCTTTATTCTATTTCTGATTATATAGCACATGCTTATGTAATTATGGAGCAAAGTTTATCACCATTGTACAATATGTGATCCTTAAAATCTTCCTTTGGCATTTACAAAAACCCTATATGCTGTGTTTTTATTCACAATGACTTAAATCAATATATTTTATACTCAATTTCTGTTTCAGATAGAGATGTATAGAAATATGTCTGCCACATACTTTTGAAACAACTGAAACCCGAAAGTTTCTAAAAGTCAAATCTGATATTTTATCACCCCTAACCCTGTTATGTAAGTCACCAGGGATTCAGTATTCTGGATTGTAAGTGAAGTTTTGAATAAAAATCATATCCTAAAGTATCATACCGAGCTAAATAACATTCACAAAAGAAGATCAAAAGTGATAAAGACAAAGATCTTGTTACAAAGAACACCATATGTATTCAAATAATGTTTCCAAAGAGTTGATAAGGCAGTAAAATGAAGAAGACATTTCAGAAACTGCAGTTTTCGTCATATTAGAGGCGAACTGAGAGGGCACCAGGATATAATAATCTCTACTAGGGGAATGGTATGGAGAGCTGGGTAGGAAATAAAGGAGGTCTCGGAGTAGATGAAAAGTAACTCCCCATACTAATATTGAATGAAACATGACAGAAATAGGAATGAGTTTTGTGCTCATTGCTCCAGTTCATGTCCTTTCTCATTATCTTTCTTGTCCTTAATTCTTGTTTCCCTTCTGAGCTGCCCACAACCTCACTTCACCAGCGACAAATCTCTATATAATTTGCAATTTTTAATTAAAATTCTGTAGACAATTCAATATTCAAATGAGAAAATTAAGTATTTTGAAGTTTCATGTCGCAACTAGAATAAAAATGCACTGCACTGGATTTAATAGAAGTTGGGCAGAGGGTGACTCACTATCTTAGTTGCCCCAGAACCATCATGGTTTTAAAACTGAAAGTTTTGCAGTCCTGGGAAAACCAGGATAGATGGTTACCCTAGTATGGAATACAATTTGACCAAAGAAAATGTTACAACAAAGCATGTGGCTAATAAATATTTTATCAAAAGCAAATATCATGGAATTCATCAAATAAGAATTAAAATATTAATAGCTTACTTGATCTCATATTTACTTTCATCAGAAAGTGGAAACAGCAGTTTCTTTGTAGTGCCCACATCCCTTGCCCTAAATACCCTCAATTTCACAAAGTGAGTGCTTTTGTGCCCAATTTCACCAGAGGACTCAGATTCTCAAAAATTCACCATTCAATAACCTATGTAAAATGAATTCAACTAAGTTTTTAATGTTCAGTAATCTTTGCTTTTGAGTAGTATACCTGATCAAGAAGCTTCACAGGAATTGTGGAATATACACTCAGTATGACTTCCTTGTAATTTAGTTTTTGACGGTCTCTTGCTCTCTCTATATATTAATTTAATAATATATTGTAAAGATAATATAGAAGAAATAATATATTGTGAAGATCATTCCAAATGAATAAACAGCTTTCTCTCTCTACATATGTGTGTGTGCATATCAAGTATACACACACGCACACACACACGCATATTCTGTTGCATGGACGTGAATATCATTGTTTATTTACCAGATCGTTATGGACACCCATTTAATTTAGTCCTGACTCTTTATCTTCTTGAAATCAAACTGGATATTGAAACACTCCTACCACAGCCTGCATTCTCAGTCTCTGCTCTTGCTGAGGTTTCACAGCTCAACGCAGACTCTTCACAGTTTTCTTGGTTCTTTTTGAACTCTAGAGCTGAGCTGCTTCTCAATCTCATCACTGCCTGACCATCACACAATTTGGCATGCTTTCCTTTATTGTATGGATTAGGGGCTAGTGGTCTCACAGATCCAATAAAAATAAAAAATAAAAAATAAAATTGGAGTTTGCCTTTTCTTTTCTAGCTCCTCTTGTTGCTCTTAGATGATTTCCAAAAAGAAGGAATCCAAGTTTGACACCATCACCTTCGAATCACTGTTTCAAATCACCATCATTTTCAATCACATACAAAAATTGCACTTGCTTCTTACATAAATTTTAGACAAGAACTAATGCTCAATTGCAGAAGCAGAGGTAATGTCGGTCTCTATATAATCTCTAGCGCTACCATCCTCATCTCTATCTTTAATAAAAAATTACCAAATTAGTTACAGGGCAATTGGAATATGATAATTGATACATACTCTGATACTTGAAAAACAATTGAATAAGTGAGAAAACATTTATGATGGAGGTGAGAAATGGTTGTGTTTTCCTTTTTTTGCTAAATGTGGGAGTTCAAAAAGAAAGGTTGGTAGAAATGGAGGGGGAAATCAAAGAAATGATGAAAGAAAGAAGAAACTTCAACATATCGATGTAATAAGTGAGTTTCTTTCTGTGAACTGGATTGCTGCCACACACCTTCAGAGATTCCCAAGGGAGCTGTGGGAAGTAAGATTAGCAAGTGCCCCTTGTACACAACTATCTGAGCAGAGGTTACAGCTCCAATCTTTCATTGCATTGGCCAGAGTTCTACCACTTAAAATGTGTTTTAGCTACTGGCTGCTCAGTTTCTTACATAATTGGGAAGTGGTGACAAGGTCACGTTTGTTGAAGTGGTACCAATGTCCTCTGCAAGACAGGGATCTCACTATTGCTGCCATGTTTCTCAACATAGAAAGCCATCTTTGGCTTAAAAGATATATGAAAGATTCCTTCTAATTGTTTAACAATTGAAAACTTATCAAGTACAAGGAATGGTGGTAGGTGCTCAAAAAAAAAAATTAAATAAGGGTAGGTACATGTCCTACCTTCAACGAGGCTATAGTTTCATATTATTTCACAGGCCCAACTGTGCCTAATTAATGTTAAAACAACAACTGTGATTGGAATTCCACTGTATATGCCTAACAATGCAGTTTGTACACAAAGATACTTGCCACTTGCTAACCCCCTTTATATTAGCAAGTCTATGATTATAATTATAGTAAGAAGCCACGGAAATGCTAATAAATGACTACTTTGTGTCTACATTCTGGGCTGAGTTTAGTATAACATTCTTCATGATTTATCAATTGTAAATATCAGCTCTATTGTTTACACTCAATGAAGAACACCTATCATTCAGTTTATAATTTGAAAATGGATATACATCTTTTACATTCATCTATAGAACAGAGTACAATACCTAGCATGCTAAAGTTGCATTGGTTTAAATATTTGATGTATTTTAGAGGTAATATAGTTACAATCTCATCATCATTGAACCACATTTGTGAAAATGTATTTTTTTCCTTCTATGAGGCTTGCAAATTAACATACTAGCTCTTTGAAAAAAGAGTTACTGTCTCCTATTCCTTGCCTCTCATGCTCTCTTTAATCCACTCCAGGCTAGGGCACTGATGAGGCCCATATTACTAAATGCAGGGATTGGTTCTCAGTTCTCATGTTGCCTGACAATTTGGCATCATGTGACATGATTACTCTTTGTTCCTTTCTATGCTAAGCTTCAGTGCTCCACAAAATTTAATTCTTTGGGTGCTGCAATAGTCTTTTTATAACAAAGTGCCATAACCTGGATGGCTTAAAAAAGAAAAAAACTTACTTTCTCACAGTGTTGGAGGTAAGAAGTCCAAGATTAAGGTGATAATGAGATTGGTTTCTGACGAAGTCTGGCTTCCGGACTTGTAACCTCTACCTTCTAGTGATGCTCCCATATGGCTTTCCCTCTGTGTGCAAACAAAGACAGTCACAAAAGATCACGTTACAAAATTAAATTTTTATGAAATGTTCAGAATGGGAAAATCTAGGTCTTTTTTTTTTAAGATTTATTTTTCATACAAGCACTGGGTACAGTCAGAAGCGCAGGAGGGTGAGAGAATTCACCAGAGCCACAGCGGGGAACAGAACAGGCAGAATGACGAAATACATTGCTGAGGGGAGCAGCGGGCAGCTTCTCAGCCCAGAGCTCAACCACTGCGCCACCAGGGAAGGCCCGCATCTAACTTTTCCTGAAAGTTGTTTTGACAAGAAAATCTACCAGCCAGAATTCAGATCACCTGAATTCTGGATGATATCAGCATAAAAAAAAATATGAGCTTTTATACAGCAGTGTAAATGATGTTCCAGAAACAGCTTGGAAATCCATACCTCTGCTGTTCTCAGGTTTGAAGAGATGAACAATGGGATAGGAAAATCAGTTAGAGATCGAATCATTTATCTTGCTAAAATATTCAGAATGTGTAAATAAGTGTACCTGCACACATACACACACACCCCCCAAAGTATTGGGAAACAGGTTTTACTAATTATATTAGTTTTAGCTTAAATTAATGTATTTTTTGAAAGTACACTTCTTAACCACCACTGAATCATGCAGTAATGTATTTTGTGATGAAAAGTATACACAAAAATTATGGCATATCATTATCCAACAATATAATATATATATAAGCATTGTGTATTATATGTAATTATATATAATAACTACTATGTAATTATTTGTCAAATATATTCATGTCTATATTTGCTATATTAATTTTTCATTTCTTTTAAGGAAAGTTCTACACAGATTATCTGTGATAATACTTTTAACTTTGTATTTTACGATCAACGTCAAAGTTTTTTGGTAGTCATTTCCTTTTTAAATATCAGATTAAATCAATAATCATGTTATTTGGTCATCTGGTAGAATTACAGCAATATTAATACTAATTTTTCTATTTCCTAAAGGTAGCAAAATGTATTATGGAATATGTACTCATTTAACCTTTTCATAGTTTAAGAAAGTTTAATCCGTAATCTATATTTTTCCAAAATAAAACATGCACTTTGGTGACTGACACCACACTGTATATCTGTGTTGCTTTCACTGTTGTAAATTTTCTTCAGCATTTCAATGATGCACAGAAATGAGCCTCAGTGTTTAAGGATGCAACACACTGGAAATAGTTTTAGGGAACAAATAATTAGCCTTTTGGAAGTGTGTGTTCATTTCACACAGCAATCTGTTCCTTCATCTCCTCCTCCTTCCTGTTTTGAACGCAATCGTGTGTGTTACGTGCGCCATCTGCAGCCTCACTGACAGGTGCAGGGTCAGTATTATCCCCCCAAGCATGGAGTTCAGTGCAAGCTGGAAATTTCACCAGGCAATTTAGGAGATTCTGAAACCAACCAAAAACTGACAATCGATTTTACCAGTAGACATGAGCATTTCTTACAAATGCTTGTAATTGTACCTTTAAAGCACACAGACATAAGTTTATCTGCCTTGGGACATTATCCAACAACAGTCCTATCCCAATAATGTCTCTTATTCCCATATGCAGATTAGAAATAATACAAAGAGGAAATTTAGCAATATGTCATAGATTTAGTAACACAAATAATTTGGTTGGATTAATATGAACAACATTTTGATGTCTCTCTACCAAGGTCCATTTAATCTCCATTCCCCTGGGATCATGGGTCCTGACAAGTTAGGACAGAAAGAGTCCCTGGGAACCTATATGGAGCTGTCAACAGGTAAGGAAATAAATTTGGGAGTCCCAAATGGGAAAACTGCCACTTCCATTAGTACCAGTTCATACATATTAGTTTCCATAACAGTTATATTATTAACAAAATTAATAATTGTGATTAGCGATCATTTTCAATGCCAGTTTAGTTAACCCATAACAACCTTGAGACCCTCCACACCTACAGGCTCAGCCCCTCTCTAGTATATATGATTCATCCCTTTATCTTGATTCAAGATTTTTCTTAAAATTGAAAAAATCGGAAGTACCTAATAATCACACTGAAAAGAGATCCATGTGTTGGGTGCAGCCAGATATTAATACTTCGTTTGAGATATGGTATTAAAAATATATGACAGTTTATTATTTTAAAATTAGAATTCCTGTCCATAACAAAACCTAAAATAAATTGATGCTCATCCATAGGGGGCAGGCATGATGAATTAAGTTGGAACTATATCATGAGGCAGTAGCTATTAAATTATAAAATTGTTTGCTATATGAAGATACAAAAAATGTTTGGAAGTATATATAAGAAAATATTCATAGTAATTGGCCTTAGCAAAGAGTTCTGGGTTGGAGATTATACCTGCCATGACAGATATGTAGTCACATGATCAGCCTTGTGTTCCCATGGTGACAGATTGATGTCTGATACCATTCTCCAAAAATTGCTTAGTCTACAAAGAATAAAGGAACATGATTTCAAAATACTTTTTTAAAAGCTTAATCTAATCACAATAAAACAACACAATGAATTTAGGAGGGATAGTTTTGACTTGGGGTTCTGCCCCTCAAAATGTTTCAGTCAACACTTCTCCCCTGTACTTCTGAAACTATAATAATAGAAACCAATATTATCTCAGTAAAAACTATTTTTTTCAAAAAAAATTCTTCCTTGAATAGTGCTTTAATGAGTTCAATCAGTACTTCTTGTTTTACTTTGTGTCATTTTTTTTTTTTTTTTAGCAAACAAATTCCCTTTTATGAATACATTCTCTCTTTAGGTATGTAATGAATTTCCATATAGCCAAAGGTTATCTTACTAAAAATATTGCAATAAGTATTCTGTTCCAGTTTGAATATTACAGTAATTTTAATCACTATTTTCTATACTACTAGAGCAATATACTATCATTATACATTAATGTATTTTTCTTCATTTTCTTATTGAGGAAACTTTAGACTTATCTTGAATGCCAATCTTCTTTTAGATGATGTTAGAACTACTTTGCTTTCCATATACTTTCATGCTAATTAGTACCTGTTGTGCTATTCCTTGTACCAATTTAAGTTTACTTCCTCATGTGACACAGAGTGACTTCACAGACCTTATAATTTCATATGAAATCAGTCTGTCAAATAATTCTATAGTAAACTTGGCCTCAGTGATATGTGCTCATATATCTAGCAATTTTAAATCACATATATATGATATAGTCAATTGAATGATTTTTTTTTTAAATTCTTTCTTTCTACTTTTGGTTCTAGGGTGAATGGGTTATAAGGCCTAGAGAAGAAAGCAAACTTCATTCTCCTCCCTTTACCTCATTTTTCAGGGTTTCCTGGGACTGTGTTTTAGTATCATTTTTTTCCAGTTTCCCTTCTAGGTGCAAAAAATAAAATCAAGCGAAATATTTACAGAAGACTACAAATAACCACTGCCAGGCAACTTTGTTTCTGGAAGTAATTTGTTAAACAGTCTACCATACTATGACTGTTTCACCAACAACTCTCCTCAGAGGTCTTATATAGTTCTTATACACATTTATCTTTTGACATGCTGTAACATGCCCTTCTTGCAAGGCATTTTGAGATCCTTTTCCCTAACGTTCAAATATATTTTTCTTTCACTCATAAATGAAATCAGCATTTTATATTCATGTTGACTTTGTTTGATGCATTTGCAACTTAAGGCTCTATCTACTTAACCAAACTTGCTCAAAGTGAAAAAATAATCCAAAATATCACTTGGTGTTTTAATCTAAAAAAAAAAAAAAAAAAGAGTAGATTTGGGCCTCCCCTGGTGTTGCAGAAGGTTGAGCGCAGCACTGTCAAGCTGTCCGCAGCCTCTGCAGCGCAGTTTCAATCCCAGCTGGCTGGCGAGGGTCCCACATGGTGCAACAGACCTCTCCTGCATCATCCGCTGCTCCCCTCAGCAGTGTATTTCAGTCAGTCTGCCTGTTCTGTTCCCCGCTCTGTCTCTGGTGAATCCTCTCACCCTCCCTCGCATCTGGCCTGTACCCCGGTTCTTGTATGAATAAAAAATAAATCTTAAAAAAAAAGAAGAGTAGATTTGGCAAAATATCAGCTTAGTCTGTTTTCAGTCATACTATGTAGGCAAATCTCTTAAACACAATGTTAATATACTGCTTTCTTATTCTAAACCATGATTCTGCTAAAACAAAATAACAATAGCTATCTTCTTTTGAGCACTATGCTAAGAGATGATTTATCTTATTTCTTCCTAACAACCTAATGTGGTATTAGTTCACTATGCTGATAAAAGTAGAGGTAGAAGGATAGTTAAGTGATGGAAAACCAGATTTGTAAAAAGGCTTTCCTACTATAGTACTTTCCAACTTATTTTTTCTCAGGATTCCTTTATATAATTAAAAATTATTGAGGACCCCCCAAAACCTCCTGTTTATATGGGTTATATCATCAATATTTAACAAATCAGAAGTTAAAACAAAAATTTTAAATATATATAAATACATTTTTACTTTATTTAAAATGACATCTTTACAGACACATCACCCAAAGCAGTGATAGTGAAGGCAAAGATCAACAGCTGGGACTACATCAAATTAAAGAGCTTCTGCACAGCAAAAGAGACAATAACAAAAACAAAGAGAAACCCCACCAACTGGGAGAACATTTTTGCACACAACACTAATGATAAAGGATTGATCACAAAAATCTGCAAAGAGCTGATGAGACTCAACAACAACAAAGAAAATAATCCAGTCAAAAAATGGGCAGAAGAGCTAAAAAGAAACTTCTCTGAAGAGGAAATGCAAATGGCCAACAGGCATATGAAAAAATGTTCAACATCACTTGTCATCAGGGAAATGCAAATCAAAACTACCATGAGATACCATCTCACACCAGTGAGAATGGCACATATTAAAAAAACTAGCAACAACAAATGTTGCGAGGGTGTGGGAAAAAGGAACTCTCCTGCACTGTTGGTGGGAGTGCAA